AACATGTGACTGTATAGTCTATGTAGATGTACATGTATCAGAAAAAATGGAGGAATTTCTACTCACAATTTTTGACAAAGTGCCTTGTACAATACAGGGCCTTTGGCTAAATATTTGAACAATTTTAAAACTTTTATATTGATCAGAATCTGCTCAGAATTTCTACACATCATAAAATCATGTATTTATGTAAATCAATAATAATATGATTTCTTTTCTTTCTAGACTCAGAGGATGCTTGACGAAGAAGAGAGAGATGATACAGCACTGAAGGAGAGATTTGGCTCAAAATGGAAGAGAACTACATCAAATGAACTGACACAGAGCATTCGTGGTGAAGTGGCAAAATTTCAAGGAATTGTTGAATCAGCAACTAAAGTAAGTTAGTACTGCCATAATAATATATATTTATCCATTAATATAGTAATATTAATAATTATTTCATTTTTTCACAGTATGTCATGCTATTGGTGTGTATTCATCTCTCCTTGTATTCATTGTTCTGTATTTAGAGCTTTTATTGTGATTTATCAGCAATACCATCTATGAGCAGCACTATTCTTTATTCATTCATTCTTTTATTGTGTACTTCTTGTATTTTCATGTCTCCCTCTACCCTCACTCTCTCTCACACTCACACACACACACACACTCTCTCTCTTTCTCTTCCTCTCTCTCTTTGTAGGCTGATTCAACTGTTAGAGAGAAATTTGAGACACATCGTCCGGCTATTGTGACACTCACAAAGAGCGAGACTGACCCTGCCTAAAGCTGGTGCAGTGGCACTTATGGCAGCCATCAAAGCTGGAAGCCTAGTATGAGAAAAATAAAAAAATAATGATTAATCTTCAATGATGTTATTTCTAGTCTGTCCAAGAGCTTTGTTCATTGATGGAGGATGTGAAAACGATAAAAGCTGAGAGAGAAGTGTTGGAGCAACAGCTAAAAGGGCCAATTGCTGACATTAGTAAGAAAAAAACCATTGATAATATACCGTAGATCAGGAAATTAATGTGGTAGGAAATTTTTGCGGTTTAAAATTGTGCTGTGACTTAATTTTTACTAAATAAGACTGTGTCATGTATTATTGAATGAGGCATGTAATTATATGGGTAATCTAATTTTTGCGAAATTCTAATCCAGTAAAATTTAAATCACAGTAAAAATTTCCAGATAGATGGTACTTGTACTTGCTTCTCTTTCTCTCTCTTATTGTTTCTCTTCCTTCTTATAGCATGCGTCATAATTACTTCCGCATGGCAAAATGGCTACTTTGCCATTCACTTGTACAGTGCTATAAACTTTTATGGCAGGCTTCTCTACTCATAAACATGGCTAATTTATGCTGCTCTTTCATTTGCCTAGACCCAGGGATGCAAAGGAAACAAAAAGTCGTTGGATAGAGAACTAGTGAAGCAGCCGAAGTGAACACAGTCTTGTCTTGTTAGTTGTTACTCCTATAATTATTGCTATTGCTACTTTTCTGCTAAATACTGATATAATTATGCTCTTTTTTGCCTTGTGCTATAGAAAGAAGCTGTGGAAAAAGCAACTTTACTGCTGTAAACAAATAAGGCTCATTAATTTTTGCCATACGGTGATTATGACGTCAAAAGTGACATCACTGCAACCACTCTATACAGTCATACGAATTCTCATTTTTAATAATTTTTTCTGATATATATATAGATGTACCTATACATATACTTATATGTTGTGTAGAAAGTTTGATCTTTTTTGGAATTAAAATTGAGTTTTTTAACGAATTTTAAAGTTGCTCAAAAATTTGGTAAAAGTCCTTGTCTTGGGCCAAAATTTCTCCAAAAATGTCTAGGTTATAATTCTCCATTTTAATAATTTTTTTGATACATATATGTATATGATTTGTAATAATTATCATACTCACAAATAGGGTTGTCTCATGGTGGCTGACAATTGTTGTGAATGTCCTTGTCATTTCCCAGCACTTTATTCAAAGTTTAAGAAGTATGCATGTACATGTACATGTATATGATCCAAAATAAAGTTTATCCATTGTCATTATTGCAGGTTATTAGATTCAGAGAATACATGCCCATTATGTTCAGCAGAGATCTCTTCTAAGTCGATTCAACCATAGATAATTACCTCTGATATACAGACTAAATGAAGAAATTATTGTTACATTAATCCATCACTTATGTACATGCATCCCCCTTTCATTTATAAAGAACATTGCATTTATTATAATGTATATCATAATAGCATGCAAGAGTTGGTGGATACAGCTCCTTTAGACTTTGCACCTCTAGTCACAAAATAATCTATACTTATGCAGATTGGTTTGTTTGACAGTTAAACACTCTTACCCACTCTATCAACTGTACCAAGGTCTTTGCCCCTGGGCCCCACTGCATTATGCACTCATGCATGGTTATAATAATTGATTTCTGAGGAATTCTAATGCTTAGAAATTGAGTAAAAATTATTACCCTGCAGTGATGTATCTACTCCTACACTTTAAATTGATCAAAATTATTTTATAATATATGCAGTTGTTGAGCATATTTCTTTTTGAAACTGACCACTGAATATGTCCTTTGTTTCTATTATAAGAGTTTGAAGAATTGAAGATGTCTAGGCTTAACTGCGGTCAAGACTTGACCTGTAAATATTTCTAAAATTATTATTTAAAAGCAAAAATAGAAGTGATAACATTTGAAACTAAAACTGGATATAAATAATTAGAGAGAAAAATGCAGTAAAAATGTAATTAAAGTTTATTTTGAAAAAAATTCAACACGGGCGAGCCTGAAAATTATGAATTGTTCATATCAAAATTTTATTGTTGTCAAAATTAAAAGTTGTTGCACGTGCACTTCACGACTTCGCTTCAGAATAAGCGGTTCAGCCAGCAGCACTTGTCTGGTTCTCTGAAGAGTAAAGGCTAAGAGGTGAAGGAGGGTTTCGTCCAGTCTGTTGCTGTCCATGTACTGGTGTAGTAGTAGCTCTGGTGCCCAGTGGTAAGGGTTTGGCCAGCGAATTTGGCTAATGTTCCTAATTTCTTGCGTCTCTAGCGCCCTCCTGTATTATCTGTGACGGAAGAATTTTAAAAGTGACTTTAAATTAAATTTCGCTTTACTTGAGCGTATTTTATATTAGATGGAATTTTGGTTGTTAAAGTTTCTCTTTAGATGTCCTATCTATATCCATAGACCCTCTGTACTGTATAATGGTTCCAGTCTTCTCCCCGAGCTTCTTGTACCCTAACTAAAGTGTACCAGCTGTTCAGTAGTAATAATTCAAACTAAAGTAAACTGGTGAGTTCTGTTGGGCTTGTGTAGCCATTAAAATTGATAAATTGAGAAGGGCCACCTCTCTGTGTTCCATATTATTTTAATTTGTGACCATGTCAATTGATGTCATTTATTATTTAAGTTTGCTACATGTAATGAGTCTGAATATTATGGGGACAAAGATTTGGGAGGAATGGACTAATAGACCCTATAGGGTGCTAATTTCTGCAAGTAATTATTGCATTACGGTATCCACCCACACTCATGATTTGGAAGGCAATAAGATACACCATAGCTACATGGGGAAACAAGGATCAAGAGGCCTTTGTGGCTTCCAGAGCTTGCCTGAGTGGCAATAAATGCCAGTAAGAGTGAAGAACAAAGCCCAGAATGTCTCCTGAGAAAAAGCTTCATTGCACTTTAATTGGTTTTGCTGTCCAGCAGGAGAATTTTGAAATTTTGTCACTAAAGAATGCGGATAGGATATGGATCATTACGAGTAGTGTCTCATATATGGTATCTATAATTGCTTCTAGAAGTTAGCACCCTATAAGGTCTATGTGCAATATATAACCTTGTAGTTGCTAAATTGCTATTAGAAATGGTTATCCTAGTTGAAAAGTTTGATTTTAAT